TCAAATACCAGTCTTCACTGGGGAGGAAGATTATGTACAGAAGACTTCTCTAAACAAAAGGTTTGGGAAAGTTTGTTTTTTCTACAAGACAGGAAATGCTTAAAGAAAAACCTCTCATGGACCATGTGGTCCAAATTATATCAGCCCTTTTTCCAATTCCAAAATTGCAGTTAACAGTTCTTACCATAGGCCATGAATGGGGAGATGACCCAAAGCCAACTACCAGCTGTAAACACTGTCCAAAGAGTCATTACGTTGGGATGCTGGAAAAAGTGGGATAAAACCACTTCATTCTATGGAATTAAATGAAAGTGGATGTGTTAACCACAAGACAACAAACAGCCTTACTAAGAGTATTAACTATGTCAGTAATCGGTAGAAAGAACTGTTCCCTGTGTGCATTTATACAAAGTTGCAGGTGATGTGCATAGCCTGCAACAGAAATGTAAATAAGTTGCCTATAATTGCATTTGTCTGAAGTAAATCTAGTTTGCTCATAGTCTGAAGTTTTTATGTTAAATAGAGTACAGAACATGTTTCAAAGAAAAGGTTGTGCAATCACAGAAGCATTTCTGAAAGACGTGTCAACTGTTGTCTTCAGAAAGCAACTCCCAAATTTACACACGCCCTGTGTTCATATTCTACTCCTTGGAAGGAAAAACTCGACTGAAATGACCCAGTACAAACACAAAGGCTACCTGTTTAGTAACCTCATATGTATTCATCACTATCATCATCAGACTTGTGCAGAAATGCTGTTGCTTTACCTGTAAGGCTTTCAAATGCTCTTCAGAGCAGTTTTCTAGGTCTGTGATCCTTACAGCAACTTGCATGCCTGTAGGTGTGTGCCGTGCAAGGTAGACTGAAGTTAAGTTGTTGAACCTCCTTCCTGAAACCAGAAGTGGCTACCTTAACATTGGAAAATATAATAATCCACCACATAATTTCCTTCATATTTAGAGATAATTTTACAGTTCTAAAATTGCAATTGATAGCAGCATAACCTTTTCTTTAAGAATGTCAAGAACTTAAGTAGTTGCAGCAAAATATATCCAGCAAATTAGTTAAAAGCATGACTCTGCTATTTTTAGAACAACTAAAAATGTTTAAACATTTGTCAGTATCAATCATACATCTAAATGAACAACACTTTTAGCATGCATATTCACATAAACATATGCACACACAGTAGGATTCAGGGTAGCCATCCTTAGGACAATCAACTCGGGTAGCCAAGTGACAAGACGTGATGTTACTTAATGCTGTATTGTCCACATACCACAGATTTAAAAACTGACATGCACATGAACAAACATCAAGAAAAAAATTCTGGTAATTTTTGATTTGTCTTGTATCTTAAAAGTGATTACTGAAACATGAGCAATGCTCTGCACTTTTCTCAACTAAGGAGACACAAGAATAGTTCTAGTCAGCTGATAACACATTTTCCAAGCTTAATATTTACTGCAATTAGCAATAACCTATTGAGAGCATGCATCTGCAGGAACAAGAAAGATTTTAAGGTACATATTACCTATTTCCAGCTGGAGTTCATAGTGAGAGACATTAGAAGAGCAAAACACCATTTCATTCCTTCCTGTAGATGGGGGAATCCAGGCTAGATCAGAATCAGCCTAACAGTGAGGAAACACAGTTCTCAAAATTACTATGTAAATTTTAAACATGTTTAAAATTAACACAGAAATATCATTAATTAGAATGCTAAGATCAAGTACTTGCATCAGAACATTCAAGCTGGTGCTTTTACCATTACACTGAGACTTAGTTTTATGAGCAACTGTTGGGGTTTTTTTTCTGTGTGTGTTTGGTTTGTTTTTGAACTGGTACAAGATTAAGAGTAACACTTAGTCACCTATAGTCTTCTTCCACAGTGGAAGCCCCAAAGTAATCTGGTTATTTTTGCTGTTAACATTTTAAGAAGTACCCCCTAATGAGATTATTTTTAATATGTACCAGCTTCGTATTTAACATTGCCAGTTAATGTTTCTATTTTCTTCTTACCAGGCATTCGTGGACGCTGCTCTGAGATAGCTCTTCTGGTCTGATTGATTCAACTGGTGTACGGAGAATACAGGAACAGTCCTTGAGAACAGAAACAAGTGAGCGTTAGTGGAGTTGCTGCAATTTATTAAACATGGCACTGGGAAAACATCAAAAGTAGCCCCTATAAGCAGGAGTTCAGAAAGTTTTCTGCTGCAAGTCAGTCAAGCAGGAGGTTAAGAAACAGCATAGAGCACATATACATGGCAGACCTAGACAGAAGAGATACTAAACAGTCTCCTTCACTGAAAGTTGATACAACAAAGTTTAAACATCTCAGCACTGTGGAAATCCACTCAAGCAAGTGATTTCACCAGAACTTTTTCACATTAAGGTATGACTGGGTAACAAGGTACAACTGCCAAAGTTTTTTAAATACAAACTTACCAAACAAGACATGGAACCGCTTTAGATCAGGGGAAAAGTCATACACACCCATTTATCCTAGAAAAATTAAAGTAGCAATGTAAGACGGTACATAAACCTGTGATAAATGTGTTTCTTTAATCACAACTGTGAGGCATTCCTCTCAGTTAACACACACACAAAAAAAACCCCCAAAACTACAGCTCTGGGAAAGCCTGCTTCTATTGAGCCTTTAAGCAGCATATGGATTTCGAACTCCATACTGAGGATATGCAGTATACATTCCAACTCAAGTTTTCCCTTTTGATTCATGGGTTTAGAGATCTTACTACCACTTCTGAACAAACAATTTAATTGCAAGTTACCTGCATAAGTGCAGAAGGTAAAAAGGAATGAATTCATGAATCCCTGGCAGTTTGTAGGAAAAAAATAACTGTCTATTGTTTTAAAGGAGCACAGCTGTGCTAGTCAGATCTCGGCTCAGCTGTATGCAGCTGAACTAGCTCACAAAAAAAGCAAGCCAGAAGCAATTGCACTTCACATTTCACAAGTGAGAGAGGAAATACTATTGAATGGGACTTGAGTAAGAAAAACAGGAGGGGAACCAACTCAGATAAATTTCACTTTACTTAGGCTACAGAATCAGCATTCAAACTCCCTACAGATCAAAGTAGCCACCGCTGAAAGTCCTCCAGCAGACTTTGTCTGATGCTTTGAAAGCTTAGGCAGTGATGAGAGAGAGATGACTGTGTAATAAGCATATCAAAGCTTCTGAAGTGTAGAGTGGGACTAGCTAATTTACTTTAGCTACAAGCAAGTCTTCTACCATGATGAATCCTACTTGGTGGCTCACAAAGTCAGCTACAGGAGACACTTCCATGTTAATATGTAATTATTGCTTGAAAGTTAACTTTAAAAAGGTGAAGTACTATATCAGAATGATCATTTTGTTTATCAAGGAGCTAAGCTTGATTATATCCCGCATTTAAATTATGTACGCTATTTAATCAAGGCAATACTCTTGAAAAACTAACAAGCTCCTGCCACCCCATCCACTGCCAAATATCCAAGCCACTCCTAATCCTTAATATTTTTACCGTGAAAAACTGCTTGAAGTAAAAAAATACTGTAATTCCTTATTAAAGACAAAAAACAGAGACAAAAGGAGGTCCTTAGTAGGTGTTTGGTGCCTTCAGAGGATCAGGGCTTGACTTACACAACTTCACTGAGGAAGTCTGTGGCAGAGTAGGTAAAAAAAACGCAGGTGCTTCAAGATACCGGCCAGCACTGTAATGGCTTACAGCATCCTTCTCCTACCTGGAAAGAAGATACCTCATTCCATTATACAAGATAATTTATTCTGTTGCTCAGAATATGAAACCACAAAAGCTAAGCTGAAGAAAAAAGTCTTAACTATGATACACTAAAGTAAAATCATTGTAGAATTCATTCAAAGGGGTATAGCCAGCCAGCAGAAACGTCCATGATCCACATTTGTTCAAATAACATTACCTTTGTAAAATTTTTAGTTTTGTTTTTCTTATGTAGTTTAACATTGCTTCCATTTTCAATACGGTTTTGGATCATGTCCCTCCATAAACCTTCTCCCTGTTTCCACATTTTTCTTTCTGTATCACAGGCTTTTTTTTTTTGTACTGTAGATAGTGACAGTATTGCACAGCTGAACTGACACATTCATCATAGCTTGGCCAAAGCTTCAGATGCAGCGAGCAATGCAGGGGAGAAAGAAACAGAAGAACGTGCCTGTGAACCGGGGGACTGCAGAGGCTCTGGAGCCCAGAGCCCAGGAACCGCGAACGCACGTTACTCTGGTTCTGCTGAGGCTGGGCTGCAGCTCCTACTTCAGTGTTTGGAGTGACTGAGGCAGCTCTCGATCGTGTATCTCGAGTTAAGCGATCCGTCCGTGGCAAAAGTAACGGAACGTGAGAAAATGATGCCCCGCAGGTTCTCCCAAGAGAGCTCCTCACTTGTTCCGTTAAACTCCTACCTTGCCTTCCCTGCGGCGCCCCCGCCTCCTCCCGCGCCAGGCGGCGGTTTAACGGCGGATTAACCCCCCTCCGGCCCCCCGCGGCGGCCGGGACAGGGCTGCGCCCCTGCCAGCGCGGCGGCCCCGGCGCCGCTCCCCACAGCCGCC